CAAACCCACAGAAGTTGAAACAGTAATATTAAAATATTAATGCTGCCTTCACACACAAGGATTATTGATCAAAATAATACAGTGGCCTCTGCTGTACATTTAATATCCAGATACCTTCTCCATGCTTACAAGAGAAGCAGGCTCATTTTTAGTGAGAGGAGCATTCTGTCCTCAGGAAGTCTCTGTAACGACTTTTTTCGTAGTGCTTTCACTCACCTCATTAGAAACATAGGACAGGATTTATTCCCATTTTACAGATGAGGAAACAAACTCAGAGAGGTCAAATGATCTACCTGCTTAAGGTCTCAAATCAGTAAATGATCCAGCTGAAACCACAACTGAAGACTTCTGACTTCAGTAACTCAACTTTCTATGGTAACTTCCCCTCCTGGATAGACATAATGAGAGTAAGGCTTGAGCCAAGTAGATACGCAAAGAAGTGTTTTAGTCTCCTCCTTCTGACAATCAGAAAGCTAATATTCACCAGGACCCATGTGCCCAAGTGCATAGCATTATCAATCAGAAATCTGTTCTTAGGAACATAAAACCACAGTGGAAATCAGGAATGGGAGGATACTTATAGAAGGTACTGACATTTCTGTCAGTTGCCCTGGTTTGAGTTCATTTATTGAGGGCTTATTCTGTCCCAGGTACTGTGCTTGGGATACAGAGCAAATCCAATAGACAAAGATTCTACCTTTGCGTAGCTCACATTCCAGTGGGTTAATAAACAATCCAGATGCTGCCAATAAGAGACTGGTGGGCTGCATCTGGACCACATTAGTGTTCTCTTTGGTCCATACAGTGCTTAATTTTTTCTTTTTATAACAATTTGCCAACTTCTAGCTTCTCTGAAACAGGCAACTTTTGCTGGATTCCTGAATAATAAGTAGCAGCCACCCCTGCCCCTTACCCAGGACACATGCCCTCTAAAGATCACTTCAGTCCCTACCACTTCCTACTGTCTTACACCCAGAAGACATGCAATTCATGCATTTCCTTTACCCAGTTGATATCCATCAGCATTTAAACTGAAACCCCTGAAGCAAACAAATATCCAAACAAGATAATTTCAGATAGCACTAAGAAATACAAAATAATAAAATACCCTAATATGATGGATGTGATGTGATTGGTGGAAAGGGCTACTTCAGACTGGGTGATTAGGGAGGGTCTCTCTGAAGTGTAATTGAAACTGAGACACAAATTATGACAAGCATGACAAGTCAGCTAACAGAAAAGAAAAATGCTTCCAAGCAGAGCGAACAGCATAGGCACAAGTCCCGCTTGAAGCTAGAAATAACTTGGCTTGGTTGAGGAACAGCAAGGATAAGGTGGTCGGGAGAGAAGGAAGGAAGAAGGCAGATTACATAGGACCTTGTGGGCCATGGTGAGAATTTTGTTTTTGTTTTTAAATATATATCTTTATTGATTTCAGAGAGAGGAAGGGAGGGGGAGAGAGAGATAGAAACATCAGTGACGAGAAAGTCATTAATCAGCTGCCTCCTGCACGCCCCCTACTGGGGATCAAGCCTGAAACTTGGGTATGTGCCCTGACGGGGAATCAAACCATGATCTCCTGGATCCTAGATCAATGCTCAACCTCTGAGCCACGCCCAGCTGGGTGAGAATTTTGGATTTTATTCCAAGTGGGAAGACTTTGGAGGGTTTTAACTGGGGAACAATGTGATCAGGTTTATATTTTCAAAAGATCACTCAGCTATGTGGGAAAGTGATTTAATGAGGCAAGAAAAAGGAAGGGAAGGGGAGGGGAG